CTATCTATCTCTCTCTCTCTCTCTCTATCTCTCTATCTATCTATCCATCCATTCATCCATCCATCCATCCATCTATCCGTTTCTCTATCTATCTCTCTATCTATCTATCTATCTATCTATCTATCTATCTATCTATCTATCTCTCTCTCTATCTCTCTATCTATCTATCTATCTATCCATCCATCCATCCATCCATCCATCTATCCGTTTCTCTATCCATCTATCTATCTATCGCTATCTCTATCTCTCTATCTCTCTCTATCTATCCATCTATCTATCTATCTATCTCTCTATCCATCTATCCATCTATCTCTCTATCCATCTATCCATCTCTCTCTCTCTCTCTCTATCTATCTATCTATCTATCTATCTATCTCTCTCTCTGTCTCTATCTATCCATCCATCCATCTATCTATCCATCCATCCATCTATCCATCCATCTATCTATCTATCGGAAAAAAGGCTTACGTCAGCGATTCGAACTATCGCGAGATTTTGTGGTTTGGCGTTAACACAGATCTCCAAACCATAAATCAGCCTTCATCCTGGATTTACTCTAAAGTAACGTGATTTACAGATCTACAATTCACATTAGAGAATCCACAGCGGCTGTGGGAAGTTTGTTGCCAGGTGTCTCTGAGCTACACGAAGCCGAACCGGCCAGACAGAAGAAGATGAGCTTCTTATTGTGAGTTTGACTCTATGATTTAGATTATTATTTCTAGATAACTACCAGTTTACTCCTTTAGCTCGTCTTGCTAAAGAGCTTTTGGACCGAATCGACTTCAGTTCTGCGCGTGCAGATCGTTAAATGTGTCCGTATTTCAACCTGACAGCTGCTTTAAAATATGCTGTTTTTCACGCAAATGCTTCAGCATCGAGCTTAGCCCAATTCTGGCACATTTGCACCGGGTTCTTGGCTCTCTGATGAGCTGGGCTGGAAGGGGGGCAGATCTTATGTAATGCATGTTTGTTGTTCAAAAAAGCACGTTGTGTGTCACTTTGTATCTGAGATCAGAGAGTTGCATTGTGTGCAAAGCCTGTGATGCATCCAAAGTTGGAAAAGTTGGCTGTACTGTATGCTGAGCAGCTGAGCTGTTGATGAAATTGCATGAAATCAAATAGATACCAGGCAGTGCATGATGTTGCAACTGTCATATGAATATCTTATCTTATGTTTCTTATGTTTTTTATTCTCCCAAAATGCTGTTTAATTCAGTTTAACAGTCTCGCATCATTCTAATCGTATCATTTTGGGAGGGAACAGGGTGTATTTGCTTTCTCTGTAATTACTTTAAAGAACATGTTTACATCTTACAAGAGGGTGATGTTTTTATCAGCTGTTTGGACTCTCATTCTGACGGCACCCATTCACTGCAGAGGATTCATTGGTGAGCAAGTGATGCAATGCTACATTTCTTCAAATCTGATGAAGAAGCAAACTCATCTACATCTTGGATGGCCTGAGGGTGGGTACATTTTCAGCAAATTAGAATTTTTGGGCGAATTTTCCCTTTAAATGGCCTTTTTGTTCCATCCCACCCAGCGGGAATCGTTCATCTAAGACGTTTAAGCCAAAGAAGAATATTCCAGAAGGTTCTCATCAGTATGAGCTGCTCAAACACGCCGAAGCCACGCTGGGCAGTGGGAACCTGCGTATGGCTGTCATGCTTCCTGACGGAGAAGATCTGAATGAATGGGTGGCCGTCAACGGTAAGAACCAAGAGTGACATCATGTTTATTAATTATCCCCACACACACACCCACAAAGTGAATCGTTTGTTCAGTGTGTGTTTTGTTATTGCAGATGGTTTTCTTTTTGCTCTCTATGTGTTCAGTTGCTTTTCTCATTTCCTTCTTAACAACTTTGACCCTTGACCTATTGATGACACCAAACCAGAGCCATCCTGTCTTTACCGATCACCCAGTCTGTCCCGAGAGACTCTGTGTCCATTGCAAAATTACTAACACGCCTCCTCCAGAATCCAGCAGGATCCAATAGTCTGAGACTACCAGTGAAAATGCTGCTGTGTTGTGTTCTTTTGCAATTTATAAAATTTGACAAGAAAAATGAGCATTATCAGCATTGTGAGAAGTTTTAAAAATGAATATGATTTTCATGATGTCTTCGTGTCTTGTTTGTTTCTCTAATGACATCAGCACAGGAATTGACTTGAACAAAACCTGATGATCATGTGCTCCAGCATGATTTCAGATGATTTATCATGAGCATGAGTGTGTCAGGGGAAGCAAGAACATCTGGCTGCCTGTACCAATTCTAATTAATAATCAAACATTTTTCCTGCCAAGTAAATAAAGGTTTTTACAGCTGTCAAGCAGCTTGACGCTTTAATACAGTAATTAAAATGATACATTGTGTGTAGATTTATATATATATATATATATATTAGTGCTGTCAAACGATTAATCGCATCCAAAATAAGTTTTTGTTTACAAAATATATGTGTGTGTACTGTGTATATTTATTACGTATATATAAATACAGATTCATACAGTATATATTTTGAAAATATTTACATGTATTTACATGTATATATTTATATTTAACTTTATTAACTTTTATTTTGGATGGGATTAATTGCGATTAATCGTTTGACAGCGCTAATATATACTCTATATATGAAGAGTTCATTTGCAAAAACCGATAACTCCCTTTTTTTTCTTTTCAGAAATCACGTTTTTTTTTATTGCGCATTCCAAGTAATATCAATCAAACTGCAGTTGGGTTGTTTTGATTAAGTAATAATAACTTAAACAGATACAGGTAATTTACAAAATTAAAATTCATTGAAAGTATGTTTTTTTTTCTTTACATATTAAAAGTTTGTTTTATAGCAAAAGCAGATAACTCCAACAGTCGTTTTTTTTGGCAAAATCAGATAACTCCACATTTCATGTTTTAGAGTTTAAAAAGACACTCGTTTAATCTTTGTAATCTCCTCAGATGACAATGTAGATGCCTGACAAACGTTGTTGTTGTTGTGATCATAGCAGATCATAGCATATCAGAGCTTTTCCCTCTCCATTGTAACACGCTGCTTTTGCAAGGTTCCGTGAAAAGTTTCAGCTTTTATTTTCCTTTTTCGCCCTAAAGAAGATATCACAGGTTCATCAAGTTCGTCGGAATGATCCATCCTTGATCTCTTTAGGTCAGCTTTGATGAAACTCCTCTCAGCTAGCACGTCTTTTCAAAGTGAAAGTAGGGATGGGCGTATCGATCCGAATTATCGATATATCGATACTGACGCGAGTATCGAAAATATCGATACTCGAACAAAAAATATCGATATTAAGGTGTTTTATTTACCAGTGATTTTATTTAACAAAAAAATGCGTACAATATGCATTGAATTGGACGAATAACCTATGTTAGCGAATAATTGTGTATGATAGAACTATTTTCCTGCACATCTGAACACACGCAAATGTTGCAAGACAGAACCAATCCATCACAGAGCGTTCACTCACATCTGACAGTGCATTCAAACAGGGCTGCGTTTCCCAAAAGTATCATAAGAAAGCATTAAAGCTTTTGGGAACGGCAGCCCTGAACAATGCTTATCAGAGGAAAGAAAAAAAAACCATACGTGTTTGAGTTATTTCACAATAAACAAATTGAAATTGTAGCCTACATAGTTTGTGCAATTACATTTATTTAAATTGATTAATTGAATAAACTTCATAATTTAAAAGTTCAGTTCAGAAGTATCGTATCGTTATCGGTATCGATATCGACGATACTGGCCTTTAAAAGTATCAGTATCGTATTGAAAACAAAATAAGTGGTATCGCCCATTCCTAAGTGAAAGTAGCCTTGTCACCTGACCTGAATACAGCTCGCTGATTCGCTAAAATTGACTTATCGGATTCTGTTCAAAAACAATAAGGGCGCTTATTGGCTTCTGCAGTAAACTCGCTATGCCTTGAAAGTGGACAAAACCGGCTTTTTTGACCAAATGTGTTTAGGGTTCAGATCGCGCTATATGTGGAGAATAATGCACGGCAATCAGCTCTTTTTTTTTTAAAGTGGCGTTTATCGGTTTTTGCAAATGAACTCTTCATATATATGTTTATTATAAATAAATAAATAGTCACATGATCTGTGACTCTAATTTGCTTATTTAACCTGGAATTAACTGATGTTACTTTTTTATGTATTTACACAGGTTTAAATAAAACGAACTATTTAATACGTGATCTCAGACTTTTTGATCTGACTGTATGTCTCACTCTGTGTTTTACTGTAAATTGTGCAATGGCACTACTTTTCTAACAAACTAGAAGTTCTGATTACGCATTACAGATCAATCATGCGCAAAATAACAATGAAGTTAAATGTTTCTGTTTGGTTGTTTCTGCAGCGGTGGATTTCTTTAACCAGATTAACATGCTGTATGGCACCGTCACAGATTTCTGCTCGGAGGACAGCTGTCCGCTCATGTCTGCAGGACTGAAGTGAGTGTGTTTGAACAGTGAGGGATGAATGATCGTGTCTCTGTTTGTCTCTGCATCACTCATCTCTTTTCCTTTAGATATGAGTATCATTGGGCAGATGGGACCAACATTAAGAAGCCTATTAAATGCTCGGCTCCCAAGTATATAGATTATCTGATGACGTGGGTTCAAGACCAGCTGGATGACGAGACCCTGTTTCCTTCTAAAATAGGTACTGGTGCAGTGATATTACAGTTTCATTGAGAGACTATTGTAGTTTTTATTAATAAGGTGTTATTTTGCCTGTTTTAATTTTAGTTCATTTTTCGTGTTTTTTTTTTTTTTTTTTCATATATTACAATATATTTTTTTATAATGTTTTTCATTTTTAATTATTTTAGTACATAAAGTTAAACTCAATGAAAATGAGAAATGTTGCCTTTGAATCAAGCAAAGTTATTTCAGTTAATGTTTGTTTTATTTTAAGTAACAAAAATTGTTTTAAATTTAAGTTAATTAGTTTAGTGCATGGTTACGGATTGTATGGCACCGTCACAGATTTCTGCTCGGAGGACAGCTGTCCGCTCATGTCTGCAGGACTGAAGTGAGTGTGTTTGAACAGTGAGGAATGAAGGATCGTGTCTGTTTGTCTCTGCATCACTCATCACTTTTCCTTTAGATATGAGTATCATTGGGCAGATGGGACCAACATTAAGAAGCCTATTAAGTGCTCGGCTCCCAAGTATATAGATTATCTGATGACGTGGGTTCAAGACCAGCTGGATGACGAGACCCTGTTTCCTTCTAAAATAGGTACTGGTGCAGTGATATTACAGTTTCATTGAGAGACTATTGTAGTTTTTATTAATAAGGTGTTATTTTGCCTATTTTAATTTTAATAAATTTTTCGTGTTTTTATTTTAACATATATTACAATATATTTTTTTATAATGTTTTTCATTTTTAATTATTTTAGTACATAAAGTTAAACTCAATGAAAATGAGAAATGTTGCCTTTGAATCAAGCAAAGTTATTTCAGTTAATGCTTGTTTTATTTTAAGTAACAAAAATAGTTTTTATGGTTTTAAATTTAAGTTAATTAGTTTAGTCCATGGTTACGGATGTTAGCAGAGTAATGTTGCTCTTAGCCATAAATATTGTGAAATTGTGCTGTAAACATATTACTCATGTCTATATATATATACTGTCTATAATAGCAGGTCTTTATGGTATTTAACTCCACCTGTCCCACCTTTCCAGGTGTTCCCTTCCCCAAGAACTTCATGTCTGTGGCCAAAACCATCCTGAAGCGTTTGTTCAGAGTTTATGCTCATATATATCATCAACACTTTGACGCGGTCATGCAGCTTCAAGAGGAAGCTCACCTCAACACGTCTTTCAAACACTTCATCTTCTTTGTACAGGTGCTGTCACCGCTTTATACTATGAACACCTTTAAAAGTGTTTAAAGATCTCTGCACAAGTCCCTAAAACATGGCCTAAATGGGCTTACAGCTTTTATTATATGGCGGCAACAGCAATATGGCAAAAAAGCAATTAATAATCAAAATAAACAACTTGTTTGTCAAGTAATATAATTTATTATATTATTATATATTCATATTATATATGTTATTATACTTCATATTATAAATGAAGGCTTCTTACAGTTGTAAAGCAACTTGCTGCATTTAATATGGTATTCAAATGATGTGGCATCAGCAGTTTGTGTATATTGAGTGTTTTACAAAATCTTAATGTGACACTGAAGACTGGAGTAATGATGCTGAAAAGTCAGCTTTGCATCACAGGAATAAATTATATTTAACATTATATTTGAAAAGAAAACAGTTCTTTTGATTTCTAAAAATATTTCACAATATTAAAGTCTGTACTGTATTTTCAATCAAATAAATGCAGCCTTGATGAGCATAAGAGACTTTCAGAAACATAAACATAAACTTGTGAACTGTATTACAGTTTTGTTGTTTCTGAATTTGAAATAAATGCTGCTTATTTTGTCTGTTTTCAGGAGTTTAACTTGATCGACCGTAAGGAGCTGGCTCCTCTTCAAGAGCTCATTGAGAAACTCACTACAAAAGACAGATAAACTGAGACAAGGAGAGGAAAAGAAGTTAACAAGGAAGAAAAAGACAGTGATCCGGCTCTCTCTTCTGACTCTCCCTTCTGTCTTTTGCTTTGTACAGATGATTTTAACCCCACAGCACTGCTAGGCGAAGTGAAGGAACGGCACAATACTAATATTTCTAAATGGATCAAACCTGATTTTTGGCATTTGATGACAACATGATGCCTGGATGAAACGGTTACATATGATTTGAAGTCCTTCACATTAGTTTGGTCACTGTATGGGAGGGATTTTAACGAATGAGAACTGAACTACAGACTACAAGCAGAGGATAGGTGATTCGCTTTCTTTGACTAGTGTGAATGTTAAAGGGCGTTCAAATGCTGACAGCAAAAACATGGAGTTAAATAACTTAAGTCGATTTTCCTATGCAATAATGATCTTATTTGTCCTCACTGATGTTGTTGGGCAAAATTGTTTGAAGTTCATATCAGAGTTGATATCTTGTTTTTTCCTTAAATATTTCGCATTTAATATCGGTCACTATTAAGGGTTATTTTAGCCAGGTTTTGAATACTAAAAAAATGAAGTGTGCATGCTGGAGTTGCTGCTTTGTTGGACCCAGATGGCTGATGGGAAGTGTTGGCCTTGACTTTATATCTTATGCTGTGCATCAAAGAGACAAAAAGAAATGTATGATAACAGCTCAGAGTCTCGGAGTAGCCACAGCTGTTTCAGTTTTTTTCGTTTTTCGTAAAGCATTGAATTGATGCAACTGGGTTGCCAAACGTTTCTTAAATATTTAACCTGTTTAATTATTAAAGCGTTTCAGTTGTTCCCATTTAAAATATACTTCTTCATACGGTCCGTACAGTTCTGAAATATTCAGTATGTTGATGAATTCAGCTTTATGGTTGGGTTGTATTAGTTGTTATGGTTAGACATTTTCAGCATTTGGTTCTTAAGTCTCCATTTTAACCTTTTTTCCATCTCTGTTCTTCTATTAACACTTTTACAGTTGTGTTTAAAACTCCTGATTTATATTCGTGATTCCTGATTTTTTCATGAATGTAATAGTTTTACTTTTAATGGTTTGGATTATGCCATTGTGTAAAAGTGCCAATCGCTGATTAATATCAGATATGAAGTATTTATAGAGCATTTTTGTCACTGAAATGAGAATATATTTTCCCTGAACTGTAAAATAATTAGGGTAGATTGGATATGTAAATACATGCATACGATTTCCTGATATTGTTGTAGTTTACATTAATAAAACAATATCTCTAACTGATGTTGTTGTTGTTTTTGCTGTACATACAGCAAAGAAAACCCTTCTCAACATTTTATTTGTGATTTTCTATGCATGTGCATGTTTTAAATGTATATATTATATTTTCTGAATGCGTATGAAACAACTGTTTTTACAGGTAAAGTAACTTATTTTTAAAGTAATATTTTTTTATAAATGACCATATTTCCTATAATTCGTTCTCAAGTGGATTTGTAAGTAATAATAATAATAATAATCAAGTGGTGTTCTGTATGTAAAGCACGTGCGGTTTGAACGCAGCTGTTTCCGGTGGGAGGAACCTGAAGTTTAAGCGCCAGAATTTAATGTTCCGCCTGTTTCTCTGAGTGTTATTGTACATTTCTGCAATATTGCATGAAGATAAAATGTCTCCCACAGCCAAAAGAGCCTGTCCCAGTCCTCTGAACGACAGCCTGGAGAAAAGACTGAAACGCATCTCCATTGAAGGCAACATTGGTAAGACGTTCATTGTTTTGTTTTTTGTCAGTACTGTAAGCATGTTTCATTGCTGGACATAGCCATTGAATGCCACAAATCCACAAATAATCTTTCATAGTGAATTCTGACTGTGCGATTAATGTTCTGACGTTTATGAAGAAAATAAATATTTATTAACATGTATAACGTAACTTATAGGCTGTTTTGAGACGACTTGGACCTTGACGAGCATTTCCTGTTATGAATGCGTGATTTTTATTATAATGTTTTTTTGTGTGCAAATATTCGTTTTTATGCGTGTTCTGACTGTTGAAAACTTACGTTTTGCTTTAAAAAAAAAAAAAATCGTGTTAGAATATAGCGGAAGTTGGGTTGTGAATATTCGTAAGACATCTCATATCCGGCCTTTTTTTAGAGGTTATTTGACTCTTGTGGAAGAAATTTCTATCGTTTGTTCTTGTATTATTTCTGAACGTGTTTAAATATGATTTTTATCTTATATTGTCCTGTTCTAGCTGCGGGTAAATCCACTTTTGTTCGCCTGCTGGAGGAATATGATCGAGAATGGGAGGTAGTACCGGAGCCCATCGCTAGATGGTGCAATGTACAAACTCAGCACAACGAGCACGAGGTACAGTCAAAAATACTGTAAACATAACTAGTATACTCATATTTTATATTGTAATATAACATATACTCCTTTAAGCCTGCCCTGCACATGCATATGTGTTATTAGAGAACAAAATGGCAAACCAAGTGGCATTTATTTTAAAGAAAGTTAGCACAAACACACTTTTCAAGTAAATAATAGTTTCCGTTAAAAGTAATTCCCAGAATGGCTCATTTCTGAGTGCAGGTGGCTTGGTTTGATGTTTTTTTTTTTTTTAATTTCTGCATTGACATTCAGACACAAGTATCAATATTTTTGTGGTCACTGTACGTTACATGTTTACTGTATTGTCTGAGTATGAGCTTACAGCTTTTATTATATGGCGGCAACAGCAATATGGCAAAAAAGCAATTAATAATCAAAATAAACAACTTGTTTGTCAAGTAATATAATTTATTATATTATTATATTCATATTATATATGTTATTATACTTCATATTATAAATGAAGGCTTCTTACAGTTGTAAAGCAACTTGCTGCATTTAATATGGTATTCAAATGATGTGGCATCAGCAGTTTGTGTATATTGAGTGTTTTACAAAATCTTAATGTGACACTGAAGACTGGAGTAATGATGCTGAAAAGTCAGCTTTGCATCACAGGAATAAATTACATTTAACATTGTATTTGATAAGAAAACAGTTCTTTTAATTTCTAAAAATATTTCACAATATTAAAGTTTGTACTGTATTTTCAATCAAATAAATGCAGCCTTGATGAGCATAAGAGACTTTCAGAAACATAAACATAAACTTGTGAACTGTATTACAGTTTTGTTGTTTCTGAATTTGAAATAAATGCTGCTTATTTTGTCTGTTTTCAGGAGTTTAACTTGATCGACCGTAAGGAGCTGGCTCCTCTTCAAGAGCTCATTGAGAAACTCACTACAAAAGACAGATAAACTGAGACAAGGAGAGGAAAAGAAGTTAACAAGGAAGAAAAAGACAGTGATCCGGCTCTCTCTTCTGACTCTCCCTTCTGTCTTTTGCTTTGTACAGATGATTTTAACCCCACAGCACTGCTAGGCGAAGTGAAGGAACGGCACAATACTAATATTTCTAAATGGATCAAACCTGATTTTTGGCATTTGATGACAACATGATGCCTGGATGAAACGGTTACATATGATTTGAAGTCCTTCACATTAGTTTGGTCACTGTATGGGAGGGATTTTAACGAATGAGAACTGAACTACAGACTACAAGCAGAGGATAGGTGATTCGCTTTCTTTGACTAGTGTGAATGTTAAAGGGCGTTCAAATGCTGACAGCAAAAACATGGAGTTAAATAACTTAAGTCGATTTTCCTATGCAATAATGATCTTATTTGTCCTCACTGATGTTGTTGGGCAAAATTGTTTGAAGTTCATATCAGAGTTGATATCTTGTTTTTTCCTTAAATATTTCGCATTTAATATCGGTCACTATTAAGGGTTATTTTAGCCAGGTTTTGAATACTAAAAAAATGAAGTGTGCATGCTGGAGTTGCTGCTTTGTTGGACCCAGATGGCTGATGGGAAGTGTTGGCCTTGACTTTATATCTTATGCTGTGCATCAAAGAGACAAAAAGAAATGTATGATAACAGCTCAGAGTCTCGGAGTAGCCACAGCTGTTTCAGTTTTTTTCGTTTTTCGTAAAGCATTGAATTGATGCAACTGGGTTGCCAAACGTTTCTTAAATATTTAACCTGTTTAATTATTAAAGCGTTTCAGTTGTTCCCATTTAAAATATACTTCTTCATACGGTCCGTACAGTTCTGAAATATTCAGTATGTTGATGAATTCAGCTTTATGGTTGGGTTGTATTAGTTGTTATGGTTAGACATTTTCAGCATTTGGTTCTTAAGTCTCCATTTTAACCTTTTTTCCATCTCTGTTCTTCTATTAACACTTTTACAGTTGTGTTTAAAACTCCTGATTTATATTCGTGATTCCTGATTTTTTCATGAATGTAATAGTTTTACTTTTAATGGTTTGGATTATGCCATTGTGTAAAAGTGCCAATCGCTGATTAATATCAGATATGAAGTATTTATAGAGCATTTTTGTCACTGAAATGAGAATATATTTTCCCTGAACTGTAAAATAATTAGGGTAGATTGGATATGTAAATACATGCATACGATTTCCTGATATTGTTGTAGTTTACATTAATAAAACAATATCTCTAACTGATGTTGTTGTTGTTTTTGCTGTACATACAGCAAATAAAACCCTTCTCAACATTTTATTTGTGATTTTCTATGCATGTGCATGTTTTAAATGTATATATTATATTTTCTGAATGCGTATGAAACAACTGTTTTTACAGGTAAAGTAACTTATTTTTAAAGTAATATTTTTTTATAAATGACCATATTTCCTATAATTCGTTCTCAAGTGGATTTGTAAGTAATAATAATAATAATCAAGTGGTGTTCTGTATGTAAAGCACGTGCGGTTTGAACGCAGCTGTTTCCGGTGGGAGGAACCTGAAGTTTAAGCGCCAGAATTTAATGTCCTGCCTGTTTCTCTATAAAACAATATCTCTAACTGATGTTGTTGTTGTTTTTGCTGTACATACAGCAAAGAAAACCCTTCTCAACATTTTATTTGTGATTTTCTATGCATGTGCATGTTTTAAATGTATATATTATATTTTCTGAATGCGTATGAAACAACTGTTTTTACAGGTAAAGTAACTTATTTTTTAAGTAATATTTTTTTATAAATGACCATATTTCCTATAATTCGTTCTCAAGTGGATTTGTAAGTAATAATAATAATAATAATCAAGTGGTGTTCTGTATGTAAAGCACGTGCGGTTTGAACGCAGCTGTTTCCGGTGGGAGGAACCTGAAGTTTAAGCGCCAGAATTTAATGTTCCGCCTGTTTCTCTGAGTGTTATTGTACATTTCTGCAATATTGCATGAAGATAAAATGTCTCCCACAGCCAAAAGAGCCTGTCCCAGTCCTCTGAACGACAGCCTGGAGAAAAGACTGAAACGCATCTCCATTGAAGGCAACATTGGTAAGACGTTCATTGTTTTGTTTTTTGTCAGTACTGTAAGCATGTTTCATTGCTGGACATAGCCATTGAATGCCACAAATCCACAAATAATCTTTCATAGTGAATTCTGACTGTGCGATTAATGTTCTGACGTTTATGAAGAAAATAAATATTTATTAACATGTATAACGTAACTTATAGGCTGTTTTGAGACGACTTGGACCTTGACGAGCATTTCCTGTTATGAATGCGTGATTTTTATTATAATGTTTTTTTGTGTGCAAATATTCGTTTTTATGCGTGTTCTGACTGTTGAAAACTTACGTTTTGCTTTAAAAAAAAAAAAAATCGTGTTAGAATATAGCGGAAGTTGGGTTGTGAATATTCGTAAGACATCTCATATCCGGCCTTTTTTTTTAGAGGTTATTTGACTCTTGTGGAAGAAATTTCTATCGTTTGTTCTTGTATTATTTCTGAACGTGTTTAAATATGATTTTTATCTTATATTGTCCTGTTCTAGCTGCGGGTAAATCCACTTTTGTTCGCCTGCTGGAGGAATATGATCGAGAATGGGAGGTAGTACCGGAGCCCATCGCTAGATGGTGCAATGTACAAACTCAGCACAACGAGCACGAGGTACAGTCAAAAATACTGTAAACATAACTAGTATACTCATATTTTATATTGTAATATAACATATACTCCTTTAAGCCTGCCCTGCACATGCATATGTGTTATTAGAGAACAAAATGGCAAACCAAGTGGCATTTATTTTAAAGAAAGTTAGCACAAACACACTTTTCAAGTAAATAATAGTTTCCGTTAAAAGTAATTCCCAGAATGGCTCATTTCTGAGTGCAGGTGGCTTGGTTTGATGTTTTTTTTTTTTTTAATTTCTGCATTGACATTCAGACACAAGTATCAATATTTTTGTGGTCACTGTACGTTACATGTTTACTGTATTGTCTGAGTATGATAAGCAGGCCTGTAATCCAGCGCTGGCTCTGGCAAACACTCTCGTCCCCCGGGAATCAGCAGATGGTTTAGTCCTCAACAGCTGAGCACTCAACCAGAACAGAGCTGCTGCTTCACACACTTACTACTGATAAACACTGTATAGTGTTAGATCAACTAAACCTTAATTGGAGTTGGTGTTTCCTGCGGGAGAGGCCTTGTCTCTCTTTTAAATGTGTCAAGAGGCTGGTCTTTAAATCCGTGACTCACGGTGGACATGAATGGCATTTGACCCACTGCTGAAGTGTCAGTTAAACCTATATTAGCACGTTCGTTTTCTAAATGTCACTGTCCTCTTGCTTTCTGTGAAGCAGACTAATCACACTTTAAAAGATTAATATAATATCTATTTCTGTTACGTGTCTTTATATTAAAAGTTTATCAGTCCTTGCATGATGCAAACTATTGTTGTTTTAGTATTTTTGAGATGCTATTATAATTTTTGTTAATATTTTGAATTATATTTTTATTTTCATTTTTTAATTAAATTGTTTTAAATAATTTTTACGTTAGTTTTCGTACATCAGGTTAAGGTTAAGTGAAAATGAGAAATGTTGCTTTGGCAACTAGCATGAAATAAAATGTCAAAGTTTTTATTTTTAATATATATTTTTTAAATTTTATTTCAAGTAACCAATTTTTAATGGTTTTTAGTATAACTATAATAACGCTGTATTGCATTTAAAATAAGATTAAAATTGGGGTGTGTAATTTAACTGTACCATGTTGATCAGTATTGGATATTTAATCTTTAAAAACACTAATAATTTAATAATATATAATTTATGTATACAAAACATTAATAATTAGAATAGAAAATAAACAGAAAATATATCAATATTTTTATATATTTATCAGCCATATCATCAATATTGGATATTTAATCTTTAACAATATTAATAATTTAATAATGACCGTAGTGAATAATTCAATTTTCCAAATGTGCATTACAATATTGTACAATATATTTATTTATAATATAAATGATATGAATATAAATATAGACATGTAAATATTTTCAAAATATATACTGCATGTGTTTGTATTTATATATACATAATAAATATACACAGAACACACACATATATTATGCAAACAAAATCGTTTATTTTGGATGGGATTAATCGTTTGACAGCACTACATTTTTTTTATATATATATATATATATATATATAATGATTTATGTATATAGATCATTAATAATTAGAATATAATTAAACAAAATTAGAAAAGTAAAACAATTAAAAAAATGAAATGAAATGATCAATAAATTCATATAAATGCATATGTATGTATGTATGTAATTATCCAACAAATGTTTGTCTGGAATTTGACACAAATATTAGATGCTTAACAAATGTTGTCCAATATAACGTGAATGTGTTCATTCAGGAATTGAGCACCTCTCAGAAGAGTGGAGGAAACGTGCTGCAGATGATGTACGAGAAGCCCGAGCGCTGGGCCTACACCTTCCAGAGCTATGCCTGCATGAGCCGCATCCGCTCGCAGATCAGATCCACCAACGGAAAGCTGCGAGAGGCCGAGAATCCGGTGCAGTTCTTCGAACGATCCGTGTACAGCGACAGGTAGACTGCACCTGGTATTCATATCCGTTATCAAACAGCTCGTTTCGTTGATGAAGGGTCTGTGATTGTTATGCAACTGTCATTATGTCACAAAGTCAAATAAATAGAAATATCAACTAATCGGCTTATTTTAATCACTCTGATTGTTGTGTTGCAGGTACATCTTTGCCTCTAACCTCTATGAAAGTGAGTGTGTGAATGAAACCGAGTGGGCGATCTATCAGGACTGGCACAGCTGGCTGCATAAGCAGTTTGGGAAGCACATTGAGCTGGACGGCATCATTTACCTGCGGGCAAAACCAGAAGTACGAGCGCACACCCAGATGGGGCCTTTAAAGTGATTCTGCTGTGCTGTGAAAAAGTAATTTTGTGTTTCAGAGGTGTTTGGAGCGATTGCATTTGAGAGGAAGAGACGAGGAACAGGGAATTCCACTGGAATATCTGGAGAAACTCCACTATAAACATGAGTGCTGGTTACAGCAAAGGACTATGAGGTAACACACACACACACACACACTACTAACACCAGCCATTATAGTGTCTTCACTCATTTATGGTACTAAAGTATCACTATAGGGCCTTTCGCACCGCTTTAGTTCCAGAATTAAATGTACAGTACTAAAGTACTGGGACGATTTTGCGCGAACTATTTCCCAGTACCATTTAAAGTCGACGTATACGTAAAGAGATTGAAAAAACGGAAAGGAGGACTAAGAATCTCCAACGACAACTGGCAGTGCTACATTGGCTACAAGTGCCTGCACTTCAGCGGCCGTCCATCTATAGCTGTTCTCCATACTTGCGAAATAAGTTGACACAATGTTTACAGTACGTTTACATGGCGTTTTAAATCATGGCGGGTGAGGGCGTTATCGTACGCGTTTGGCCAATCAATGTCTACTTACGTCACGATTAGTACCAGTTGTGCTGGTTAGACTCTGCTCCGGAGTAGGAGCTAATTTGGTTCTTGAAAAAGGCAGTCCGGTACTAAAATCGCTCCCAGTTCCGGCGGTGCGAAAACGCCGAAAAGTGGGTAGTTCCACAATTAGTTCTGGTACTATGAAAAGGTTCCCGCGGTGCGAAAGGCCTTTATGTTTGACATCCTTGGGGAAAAAAAGCCATTTATGTAAATGTATATACATTTTGATAAATTATTACAAATGTATTAATAGTATTTATTAATGAATATAATGGTTTCACATGTATTTACTTTTTAAAGATGTAAAATGTAGCGAGATGATACAAAAATAATTATATATTGTTTAATCTTTTTATTTATTAATTTTAGTGCTGTCAAACGATTAATCGCATCCAAAATAAGTTTTTATTTACATAATATATCTGTGTGTACTGTGTATATTTATTATGTATATATTAATACACATAAGTAATTAATTATATATTACAAATAAATAAATGATACATCCTTCATTGTGCATGTATGTGTGCAGTATGGAGTTTGAGTATCTGAATGAAGTGCCGGTTCTTACCCTGGATGTCAATGACGATTTTAAAGACAACAAGATCAAGTGTGCTGATATGATTGAGAAGGTATGACAATAAAATAAAAAGTAAAATAAAAAAGTGAATATTCTGTATTTTTTTTTATTTACTCACCCTCATTATGTTTGATGATTCTTAGAATGACATGGGGGTTCTTACCCTGGATGTCAATGACGATTTTAAAGACAACAAGATCAAGTGTGCTGATATGATTGAGAAGGTATGACACGCACAGTAAAATAAAAAAGTGAATATTCTGTATTTTTTTTTATTTACTCACCCTCATTATGTTTGATGAGTAAATGATGAATTTACATTTTTGCTTTTTGCAAGTTAATCTAGCATATCACACAGAGCATGTGATGAGTGAAAGTCTGAGTGATATTTGTCAAATGTGGCGGAACTGAAGTTGCATCTTATGATGAGGTTGCAATACAGGGACCATTATATACTGTGGAAAAAGCATGTTATACATGATTTATACTCTAGACACACACACTTTGTAGCATTCATGCACATTATTCCCAGTGTGGAACACATACACACTTCCTTTGCATGCCCATGAACGCATCACACCGTGCAGTAATAAATGTGTTAAAGTGAAACCATTTAGATTTAAAAGGTGATTTAATTTTTTTTCCCTAGGTGAAGGAATTTCTGAGCAGCCTGTGATTACGATGAGAAAAAGTTCATGTTGGCCAAATAATGTAACATTGTGTTTTTTGTTTGTTTGTTTGTTTACATTTTGAAACTATGAAATTGTGTGAAACAGTGGTGTCCATTTAGCACTTATCAGTGTTTTTGTTATTTAAATTGGTTTACTTTTCTACTTCATGAATGAAATAATAAAACAATTAATAATCACCTTTATTTCTTTTAAAGAACAAATCTAAGTCTCTTCTGCTCACCAAGGCTCCATTTATTTGATCAAAAGTACAGTAAAATCAGTAATATTGTGAAATATTATTACAATTTGAAATGACTGTTTTCTATTTGAATATAGTTTAAAATGTAATTTATTCCTGTGATGCAAAGCTGAATTTTCAGCATCATTACTCCAGTCTTCAGTGTCACATGATCCTTCAGAAATCATTCTAATATGCTGATTTGCTGCTCAAGAAACATTTCCCATTTAATTATTCCGTGTTGAAAACTGCTGTGCTGATTAATATTTGTGTGGAGACTGAATTTCTTTTTTTTTCAAGATTTGTTTAATGAATAGAAAGTTCAAAAGAACAGCATTTCTTTGAAACCGAAATCTTTTGTAACATTACAAATGCCTTTACTGTCACTTTTGATCAATTTAATGCATCCTTGCTGAATAAATTTATTAATTTATTTTGAAAAATCTTACTGACCCCAGTCTTTTGAACGGTAATGTGTGTGTATATATATATATATATATATATATATATATATATATATATATATATATATTCAGGCTTTAAAGGAATAGTTTACCCAAAACCAGCTGAATCGTCATTCAGTCTCCCTCATGTGGTTTCAAGCCCGTGTGTATGCAGGAGCTGCATGAGGGAGAGTGAATACTGAGGTTTTTTTTGGGAAAGTTGTTCCTGTAAATGAGTGTGTGATACTGTGATGTGCGCAAGTGTGTGCTGATAGTCCTGAACGGCCAGTTAGTGGCGTAGTTCTACAGCTCTTTAAAAACAAGAAACATGCTATTCCTTGAAATTTAAGTCATCATTTCCTGTCATAAATTAGAAAGAACTGTGGGATTCACAATCATTACTCAGGATTTGAAGTACAGTAAGTACACCAAGGTTTTGATGAAATGTGTGAAACTTGAACTGGATGACTTTCCTGGAGTTTTTCTAAATGATTTGGAACATTCTACTAAATGTTGAACAAGTCTACTGTACCAAATATTTTTGTCTGCAAGAATCAGGTGCTCAAGAATCATCTTTATCTTTGGGGGTTTCATGGTTTTGTAAATATAAACCAATCATTCAAGGAAAAGTTCTTATAGATACATACTAATTTATGTTATATCATAATAATCATATATAGTCTTATATGTGTATTGATTTCATTTATATGCTTGAGTCATATTACTGAGCATTAAAGATTATCTAAATATTTCCAACATTAAAAACCAGCTTGTTTGTTAAGTTATATTGTTATATTATCTATTATTTTGACTATATATTAGTGGTAACACTTTACAATAAGGTTCATTAATTAACATTAGTTAACATGAACTAATATTGAACAATACTTCTACCGCGTTTATTAATCTTAATGTTTATTTCAGCAAGTTGTACTTGTTAACATTAGTTAATGCACTGTGAACTAACATGAACTAACTATATATATATATACAGTATATATATATATGCTTGACCATCGAATTTAATGTATATCTGTATATATATTATATATAGCCTATATATAGATGCATACACACACACACATATATTGCTGGCTAAATCCAAGTTACGCAGCATAAAATACCTTTTCAGACAATTTTATGCTTCACCTCATCTGTATACTATACATTAAATATTCATTTGATGTATATCTAAACGTAGCCTATATATTGCTTGCTAAAGTCATGTTATACAGCATAAAAGCAACGTTTATGCTTCACTTACGCGTATTTAATTCAATGCATATGCTGTACATATTGCAGAAAGGTTTCCTAACTGCGCACTTGAGTATTTTTCAGGTGTGTTCAGTGTTTCGGTGCGGATGCAGGTATTCACTGCTGTTGCATCTCATCCTCCCACTGCTGCGTCACGCTGGAGGAGGGCGAGATCTTTAAATATGGAACAAGACTCAAGACGAGCGCGACGCGGGCTGGTTTACGCGCAACGTGGAGCGTTTTCCGACGGGACGGAGAGAGTTCGTGAGCCTGTTGCGTTATGACTGCTGGACTGACTCAATGCATTGTAGTTAGTAGAAGTAGCAGCGAATTCTCTCTGGCTCCAGACAAACAGAAGTGAGTCTCTGTATGTGCTCCTTCCTGCCTTTACGCATCCAGACACGCTGAACTTGGAGCAGATTCGCACTTGCGCGTATTTTGAAAGTCTTTCTGAAGCCTGGGCATACTTGAATTCAGCGTAAGGAGAAGTAAGAGCGTCTCTGGTAGAAGAGGACGCGCGCGGCACGGTCAACATGAGCGACAAAAACAAGTGAGTACTTTTATTTGCATGCAATCTTCCCAGTCGAGATCGGTTGTGTTTCCAACAGCCCTCCCACCCTGCATCTGTCCTGCTTCTTCACCAAAAAGTAAAGGTGTAACAGTATCCTTCAGGACAGATCAACAGATCTGCTCCGAGTCTGTGCGGTTAGGGCTTCAAGTTTCAGGGACGGAGGTTATTATCTATTAAAGACATTAAACTGGACATCTGCATACGTTTGACAGCTCATGGACATCCTAAATGTTCAACATTTCTAATGGTTTCTTGAACTCTAATAGGTTCTAACAAGAACCCCAGATGAACACACTTTAAAAAAGTTCTTTATTGGTATCAATGGTTGATACCAATACATTTTCTTTTTCAATTCCTTGGAAACTAATCTATGAACTTGGCACTTCAGAAACCAATATGTTGAACCAAAAGCTGTGTTTGATCAACATGAAGAACCAAAATAGTTTAATTTCATCAGAGAACCTGCTTAGTTTTCATGATCACCTTTTATTCTCTGCTTATTAACAAACCGTCTGTGAACCTGGTGCTTCAGAACCCAGAAACCAATATGCTGGACTTTAGAGAGCCAAAAACTGTTCTTGATCAGCAACAAGAACCAAATGTGTTTAGTTCCGTCAGAGAACCTGTTCAGGTTCCACAATCACGTTTTATTCTCTACTTCTTTAGAAAAACTTTTAGAGCCCAGAAATCATGCTGATCTGGAAAACCAACAATTGCTTTCCAAAGAACCAACTGAAGAGCTCTAGATAAACGTGGACCATTTCGCCTAGAACCTGCAACCTGTTTCATCAAGAGCTTTTTGACTCTTAGTGAAAATGTTATTCTACATTTCTTTAAAACATCTGTGATCTTGGTGCTTCAGAATCCAGAAACCAATAGCTTAAAGAGCCAAAAACTGTTCTTGATCAGCAACAGTAACCAAAACTGTTTAATTCCATCAGAGAACCTGGTTGGGTCAATATTATTGACTCAAAAAATAAGATTTTTTTTTAGAAAAATATGTATTTTTCTCATTTCTAAAACCCAAAGGCTCCCCAAAGAACTATATAGCAACCCAAGAACCAAAACTGGTTCTTGATTGAAGAACAAGAACTTACAAAGAAACATCTTTAATTAAAATGTTCACTGAAGGTGGCTTTTCATATTTTATTTTATTTAAATTTTGATAAATATTTTTACTAGTTTTAATTTAGCTTATAGTGACAACATGCAGGTGACATTTCAAATTTTTTTTTTTTTGAATTAATTTTTTCATTTATTTTTCTTTTCATTACCAAAAATGTACTAGTTTAAGTTAAAGATAACAACACTGTTAAAAGTCTATGGTACTTAAGATTAATGCAATTTTGAATTCGTAACCTGGAAGAACTAAAATAGATTTCTTAAGAAAAATGTATAATATATCCTAATTCGCACAGGCTTAACGGTGTGTGTGTACGAGAGCGTTGCATAATCGATCGCTCTCACCTGTTGAGCTATGTGACTGCCTTTTCCTCTTCCATTGACTGAAGCACACAGACAGCACACGGCTTCTTGCTGCTGAGTGCTTGACTCAAAAAATAAGATTTTTTTTTAGAAAAATATGTATTTTTCTCATTTCTAAAACCCAAAGGCTCCCCAAAGAACTATATAGCAACCCAAGAACCAAAACTGGTTCTTGATTGAAGAACAAGAACTTACAAAGAAACATCTTTAATAATAACTTTTTAGCTCTCTGAAGAATCAACTCTTATAAAAAAAAAAGACCCAAAAAGGGAGTTTTCACATTTATGCCATGGAAGAACCATTTTGGGTTCCTCAAACGTTTCATTGAACAGTTCTTGAACCAGTTTTCTTGGTACTGAGAACATTTAATAATCTAAAGAACCTTTTGTGGAAATGAAAGATTCCATGGATGTTGAAGGTTTTTCATGGAACCAAAGATTCCAATAAAGAACCTTTATTTTTAAAAGTGTATACCAAGTAGACGGTTCTTCGCTGAAACCCAAGAACTGTCTTTGTTTTAAGTGAATGAAATATCTCATGGGGTCTCCAGAGGCCGACACATGATGTAGTTCACTCTATTCATTCTAATGTTACTGCCAAGCTGTGCTGCTTTAAGTCGCCCTCTTTACAGGTTCCCTGAAGCCGTAGCTTGAGTGGTCAATGTAATCTTTTTCCAAGAAGCTCCTGTCAAAACTGATTAGCTCCTTAGCGTCCAGAAGCAATGTGTGCGCCGCTTAGCCTTCCAGAAACCAGTGGCTGATATAATGCAGGGGATTCGACCTCTTTTTAGTTCAGTGCCACTTGTGCTGTCAATAAAAAAAATGAAAAAAACCCCAGCTGCCTGCAGGGATCAGATTTTTTTTTACCAATAGCGCTCTTCAGATATGAGTGAATGGATCATGTGTCTGGTTTCTTATGCAGTGCTAAGGACATTTAGAATTTTTCACTTTAATAAGCACTAACTTTCATTTCTGGTAAATTAACCCTTACAGAAAACACTGGTAGTTCATTTAGTACAGGGGTGCCCAAACTCAGTCCTGGAGGGCCAGTGTCCTGCAGAGTCTTACTAGGCATACTAGAAACTTCCAGGCAGGTGTGTTGAGGAGAGCTGGAGCTGAACTCTGCAGGACCGAGTTTGGGCACCCCTGCTTTAGTATCATTTAGTCTATAGTAAGTACCTTAGAGTACCATGGTATACTTCAAAGTACCATAGCAATACAAAATATATATATATATACTAGGGTATTGATATGGTACTCAAAGAATACCATGGTATATATGTCTAAAATCATGGTATTATCATGGTACATGTCCAATTACTTTATCAGGAATATCATGGTATAACCATGTCTAAACAGCAATGTTATTTTAGGATTAAATATACTATTATATATACTATCAATATACTATTTATTATTATTTTGAATTAACTTTTATTTCTTTTTTTTCTTATTTTAGTTGTAGTAATTTTATGTGGTTTTATCATTTATTCGTTTTTTATTTCTGCTTAATTTTTATTCATCTATTTTCTTTAGTAATTTTAGAACTTAAACTTATTCAACTATTATTATTATTATTCGACTTTAGTACTTAAACATATTTATTTCAGTTTGTTCCCAGGGTGACATTTAAAATGTTCACTGAAGGTGGCTTTTCATATTTTATTTTATTTAAATTTTGATAAAAATATTTTTACTAGTTTTAATTTAGCTTAGAGTGACAACATGCAGGTGACATTTCAAATTTTTTTTTTTAATATTTAAAGTTTTTCATCTAATTAATTTTTTCATTTATTTTTCTTTTCATTACCAAAAATGTACTAGTTTAAGTTAAAGATAACAACACTGTTAAAAGTCTATGTTACTTAAGATTAATGCAATTTTGAATTCGTAACCTGGAAGAACTAAAATAGCCGGGATTTCTTAAGAAAAATGTATAATATATCCTAATTCGCACAGGCTTAACTGTGTGTGTGTACGAGAGCGTTGCATAATCGATCGCTCTCACCTGTTGAGCTATGTGACTGCCTTTTCCTCTTCCATTGACTGAAGCACACAGACAGCACACGGCTTCTTGCTGCTGAGTGTTTACATTTATTTAAATTTTAGTAAAGATTTCTCACCTCTATGCGTGTATGTATATATATATATATATATTTATATTGGTTAACATATACAGTATATATATATATATATATATATATGTATGTGTGTGTGTGTGTATGTATACATAAATATAATTTTTTTTTATATTTTTATTTTATAATTTTTATATTCAACTTTATTTCAATTAACAAAACAACTTTTTAATAGCTTTACGTGGTTAACATCAATTTTATGATTTATTTTATTAATTTTATTACATGTTATGGCAATAATAAGAAAATAATAGATCGATTTGAATACATAGAGTTGCTCTGGAGGCTGAACTTGACTCTTTTTGACCATCCAATCATTTCCTGATCAAATCATGCTCATTTTTCTATCATTAAATATTCTGTTTCACTCATAAATAGGGCATTATGGTAGTACAGTGGGTTGTGATTGCAATTTCATGTTGACTTTAAATCAATGACTTGTCATTTTGTTTAACCCCTTAATGTCTCCGTTTGATATTGGATTAGTTCTCGTCTTGAAATCATGCTGTGCTCCTCCTCTTCATCAGTCTGAGGTCGTCACACACACAGTTCAGAGCTTGTTGGGGTCCAGCTGTCTCTAGCAGACGTGTGTTTTGGCATTTGGAAGTGTTTACACTCGCCTCACAAATATTCACTGATGGGTGTCTGTCTATGAAGTGACCAGTGCTGAAGTGTGTGGAATCCATCTAGAGTTTCTGTGCAAGATGACCAAAGCATTTACTGTTTCATTTGTCTGTTATATGAGGGATTGTGACTCTTTTATGACCCCAGGACCCCAAATCCTTGAAATTCTCAGCATAATTGCTGTATAATCTTCAGTAAAACTGTATAATCATTCATAACATTAACATACATTTCATTATGGTAAACAAGTGTTGACCTATTTTCTAAATTAACTGTATGTGCCACTAAATTGTGTGACAGAAAGAGATTTACATTTGTTTAATGTTATTTTGCACTGTAGAAACAACCAAATGACGTATCCGATGATATAACTGTTTTTTAAAATCCAAGTATACATTTAAAAATAAATTTAGAATTTTTTTATTATTTAGAAAAAAAATCATTTTTTTAATGTGAAACCTATAGAAAGTATATTTAAAATTATTTCAAATAAATTATTAATAATTTAAAATGATTTAAAGTAAAATCAATTTTTTCTACATTTGAAAGAAATGCATGTTAAAGAACCATATAGAATTATTTCATACATTTTATTTCTTTAAAAAAATAATTTCATGTCATTTCGAAGAAATGTGTGTATATGCAAAATATAGAAATGTCTTTATAATGATAAAAATCTAAATTTTATTTCTAAATATCATTTGAAATATATGTACGAGACATTTCTTTAAAA